GTTGAATAGATCGGAATATTTCTCATCTGTTTTTAATGGGATAAATTGTAAGAAAATCGGTCTTCGAAGGAAAAGTGGATTTGGCTTTAAGAGATTTCACTAAAACTCAAAAATCCATAGTTTCGAGCGTGTTTCCAGAGAAAAAGAATCATCAAAAATCACATCATTATATCCTATATATACCCTATAAAACACCACTCCTTAAGGGTATCCCATGTTTCGTTTCCCAAAAACTATCCTCCCTTCCCATTTTTTTCCCCCGAATATTTATTTACAGCTTTTACTGTTATTGGCCTGGTCTCAGTCGATGGGCGTTGACACGCCCCCCTGCTACGATGCAGCCCCTGCGTGCAGTAACATATAAAATTTGCATTAAAATTACTTTGATTACAAATTGGTTCGCCACGCCCCCCGTCGCTTCTGCCACTGTCTGCCGCCGGGGCGACAAAAAACGCACTGTACGCAAATCCTCGACGCGCTTTTTGTCGCCCCGTTCGATGCATTTGCAGTGGCGTTAAAAAAAACCCGTATTTATGCGCAAAATATTGTATTTTTAAGGATTATTGATTTTATTTGAGCAACACACGGAAGTGCAGCAGCAGATTGCCAGCCATTTTCATCTGTTTTTTTTTTTGGGGTGAAAAGTGGTGGAAAAACATCACGAAACACACACAAAATGTGCATTTTGTGCATTGTTTAATTATGCAAAATGTCGGCAAATTCTTGTCACAACAAAAGCTTAGTGAAGTGAATCTGAAGTAAAGGTAAAAAGTGCCCCGACAGAATAAATATCCGCTCCCATAAAAAAAAACAAAACAATCAAATACTATTCAATTTGATCGAAAATAGTTGGAAAAGTCGAATAGGCATCGAATGTGGCTTTTGGAAGTGGAATTAGAAATTCTAGGGTCCTGCAATGATGTGCTTCTAAGGAGGGGATTCTCTGGAGAAAGAGCCTGGAAAACCCAGGATTCTATTAGGAGAAATGTTATTATTGCAGCCATCTTTAGGAAACTGAATCTTCAAGGGAATATTACTTCTAGACTGCTTTCTTCAGAGAAATATTTTTTCGGGTAACCATTCAATTTTTGAGACACAGAATATAATCTCTTCATCTCTATGATCTGTGCCCTCCAAAGTAATCTACATTTACCACTTATCAGCCCTTACTTAGATCATATACCATCCAGCAAATGAAGTCTAGCTAATCCCAAGCTAATAGCTAAGGAAAGTCCTAAGAAATAAGGTTTTCCAAGTGGGCCGAAAGAACTCTGAATGAAACTTTGAATCACAAACAAAATATGATAAGGAAAATATTAAACAATGGAAAAAATGTAGAATAAATCATATATAACTTATTAATTACAGGAAAACATATTTTCATTTCCAGAAAATGTGGTAAAAGTGTTAAATGTTATTTTGATGATTTCTGCGAGGCCTTGGGCTTCTGGGATACTTTCCCAAGAAGAACCATTGTAAATCCATAAATCTAATGATAATTTATATCTGATTTCCTCAAGTGCTATATGGTAGTAGGAATTGTACTAGTACTAGTGGAGGAACTTCCTTGTACTCTAGGGAATGCCCCACCGCACTCGATATTTCCATTCAGATGCCAAAATTAATCTCATAATTTCGTATAAATTACTCATCAATACACCGGCCACCCAGCCCCCCTACAGGCCACCGCCCGACCGACAGAGACGGAATGTGCTGCATATTTGTGCTTTAACTTAACCCCAATCCCACACTCCCCCCTCCGCCCACAGCCCACAGTCCATCGCCCCCTCCTGCAACCCCTAAACGATGCAATTTTCAATGCATAATTCATTTGGCCAAACAAATTGATTGGAATGTGTTTATGCGCTACGCCCCCCTCTCGCTCCTTGCCTTTCCCTTTGCACATTTCAATATTCGGCTGCCGCCAACCAACAACAAATTTGTGTATTACCTATAGGGCTACCTACCCCCCACCACGAGCCACAGGGAAAAACAAAATGAAATGAAATGCAATGGAAAAACAATGCGAAAATTGAAAATTCCCTACAAAGCCGAAAGGAGGAATTGAATTTGTGAATTTTTGTGGGTGGAGTGCACGCATCGTGGCGTTTGTCGCCATAATTCACCGCAAATGCCGCAGTCCGTTTAAAAGTAATTGCAAATCGTAGGAATAGAAGAACAAAAAAGAGTGCATTTCTGGCCACGCCCACAGACCGTACGCACAGATCAAAGAGGTGGGGGGGGGGGGGGGGGGGGGGGGGGGGAGAGATTGAGAGATCAAAGAGCGGGAAATGGCCGTTCCGCTGAGAGGCAGTGTCAAGAAACCGCAAGCGATTTTCCCACGCAACGCGCAGAAAAACCGTTGATGAGGACTCGCTCATTGAAATTGCATTTCCTCCAAGTGTTTTCCCATCGTTAAATTTTTGTGTCCTGAAAGTAATTGCAGGGGGCACGTGCTGCGAGCAAATTGCACGGCAGAACCCTAGTGAACAACCATCTGATTGAGACATATCCATTGCAAAGGACATGCGATCCATAGGGTAGGTTATGAAACAGGAGTCCTGAATCCCGTGTCCTGTCCCTGTCCCTGTATGAATGTCTCCCCTGCGGCTTTATGAATTATGCGACTCTCAACTACGGCGTAGAAAATGTTTTCCCTTTCCCCTGGAACGGATTTTTTTGTATTGTCAGGCACTTGAAAAAGGTAATGGACTTTCCGGAGAACTGAACTGTTTACAGAGGATCGTCTGTCGCTTTTTTGTTATTCCAAATTTAATTAAACAAAACTGACAACAAAAGAGAGCACAAATGCTGTTCCCATTTCGAGGGTTCAGAACAAGACTGGTTTGTCGAGAGCAGAAATCAGTTTGACTAGGGATTGCGATTCCCGTACGCTTGAGGTGCCACTCAAGTGCTGCATTATGCAATTAAATCAGCTAAAAGTAGATAAATATTTAACAAAAGCCAAAGGAACCCTTGGGTACGGCCATGACATCCCAAAGAAGACCAGTTTAGGGGATAGAAAACGCGCCAAAGGGGCCACCTCAAAGCAATGATTAAATTCAGGTAAAATTACGATTAAAAGTAGTTTTTGTCCCTTCGGCAAAATATTCAACATTTTATGAATATATTTTTTTCAAAATTTCATTAAACCCAGTGGACACTCGAAACCCCTAGCATACCCCTACCCCACCCCTACCATATGTTGTACATTTTTGAAAATCATTTGAACACAGACTGTTGCCGGAAAAAAATGTTCATTAAATGTGGGAAAATGTTGATTCAGTGTTTTCGCAATTTTCTTATTTTCATTTTGGCAGCTGGCAAAAGCCAACAAATCCCTCATGAAACATTTTTGTAAAGTAATAAATATTTTAGACTAGTGTAAAAACTAGGAAATTTTTTTGTACATTTTTTGGGATTTGGATAAAATGTACAACACTCTATCCAATTTGTAAGCCGTCGTTGTGCAAACTCCGTTTCGTTGTTGTTTACCTGCAAAAACAATATTAATTAATGAAATACTTGACGCGCGTTTTCCGACTGCTAGTAGTATTTTTTTGGCAAGAAAATACCACTCTCTTTTTAGTTGCTTTTCCTGCTGTTTGTTTCCATCGGCATTTCCATATATCCATCCACACTCCATCCCAAAAAAAAAAAAAACACACCAAGGAATATACACAAAACAATTGCAGAGATTTCTGAAATACTTTTTCGTTGTTGGATGTTCGTTTCGACCACGTTATGTATGAGGAGGGAGTGCAGGGTGGGCTGTGGAGGGGGGGTGGCTCGGCTCCCATGCTCTACGTCTGAATGCCTTTTCCGTTTGCTATTTCAATTGAAATTTGCTTATTGCAAAATGCTCTGCTCCTCATGTTGGGCTCCCCTTCCGCCGGAACCCCCTCTAAAGAATTTCTAGTGCATTGCAAATTGGCATTGAAGTGCAAAAACCATCCGTAGACTACTACAATGAGACGGCGATGCGCACAAGTATTCTGCGAATTTTTGTAATAAAGTTACCAACAGAACAGAAGTTTTTCCCCCCCTCCCCCTCAGGGGAAAGGGGAGCAGACCCACAACAACAGCTTTGGGTAGTTACCAGAAGTTACCAGAAATCAACATCAACATAAAGGTGGTTAAGCAGTCTATCAAGGCATCAAGCGCGAGAAAACGGAAATAAACTTGGAAAACTTTTATAGGGGCTTATACGATTTTGGAAGGTTTTCACAGGCAGTTTGAGGGAAATACTAAATCCACAGGCATTCGGATCAAAAGACTCTTTACAGATGGTGCCCAGTTATCGAATGTTCGATAGATTATGCCTCGTGCTCGTGTGACTAGATCGTGGATGTTCGGGCCGTTATTCTGTGCTAGCCGATCAGTCGAACATGTTGCAACTTAAGCGTTTGACTGATACTCGTTGCCGCTCTTTTCCCCAGTTGGGAATCCAATCGAGGAGCGATAATCAAGGAAATACAGATTTTACAAAGAATTAATCGCTTTTTGTCATGAAAACTTGAAAATCTAGAGGATCTTTTAAAAATAAGTAGAGGGATTTTGGATGTTTTAGTACTGAAATGGGTTTTCCAAGAAATTGTTGGATCTTTTAAGACTTTAAATGCATGGTTTCATATTTTTGCACGAATTACCTGCCCAAAAACATATCAAACTTGATGTTCAACTACTCTTACAGGTCTCCACTTATGATTTATGATATATTTCCCATGTCCCGATATCATAATTTTACTTTTCAAAAAATTAACTTCTTCACCCCACCGTAGTCTTATAAACTCCCAACTTTTAGAGACCTCTTAGTGCACCAACAACACGGCAACAATGTTTCCCATGAGAAACACTTTTATAATCATTCTAAAGGCCTTTCCTGATAAGATCCCCGTCTCACCGAACCACTTGAAAGCACCCAAAATGTCTAGCCAGACTGTTTAGCAACATATTATACAATTATTTCAATTTTCTTATCAAATTTTACGATTACTGGATAGCTTTATTGCTTTTTTTGCTTTTTGCTTTTTTGTTTTGGATGACTTTTAGATTTTTTTGAAAAAAGTTTCCTATAAATGGCACAAAACACTAGTTTGCTAATCAAATAAATAATAAATAGTAGTGCCAAAAGTAAGGCATAAATATCCAAATTATAGGCTGCTACGAATCCCATGTGCACCACGGGACTCTGGAGATGTGCGGCACCATGGTGGCGGATGACATAGTCCACCCAATAGAGGAGCGTTTGACGTGCGCTCAGGGGACGATCGCGGTAGAGGGAGGAGAAAGCTTTTACTGCTCGATTGTACTTGGGATTCTCCAGGATCTCGTGGATATTGTCGCGGAAGGACTGCTCCTCGAGGGTCAGGAGACTGAGACTAAGCCCAAAGCCCTGGGTGACCAATGCCGCAGCATTTCCTGGCTGATCGCCAAACACGGGAAGAGCGAGCATGGGCTTTCCATGGTACTGGGCCTCGGTGACGCCTCCCTTGCCCGCGTGTGTGATGAAGAGCCTGATCTTGGGATGCGCCAGGATATCGTCCTGCGGCAGCCACTTGGCGTAGAGTATATTCTCCGATTTGCCAGGGGTATTCTCCAGATTGTCCCACTTCCAGATGACCTTTTGCTTTAGTTTCGAGATGACATTGAACATCTTTTGCACGGTGTCGGACTTTATGTGTTCTGCCTTCACGTTGGAGCCGAGACTCAGGAAGATGGCTCCGTCATCACTAGAGGCGCTGTTCAGGAAGTCTTCTATGTTTTCGGGGAGAGGATCTGGCTGATCCTTGACCTGGATGCCTCCCACTTCGATCACAGCAGGAACATTGGGTCGGATGGGTCCCTCACTGATGCCATGAGAAGAGAAGAGTATCAGGGAGATGTTTTTGTACAGATCCTCATATCGTGGCATCAAGGGATCGTCGCCATAGAGGTCTCTATAGAGAATGGAATAAATAAGTATTTTTATTGGTTTCCTTTGGACTTTTACTCACTTGTAAATCTTGTCATTATTATGCTCAATCACACGCATAAATATCCAACTTCCCATCGTAGCAAATATGTTCTGCACGCGTTGGACAAAGGTCATCGGTTGACCTCTTTTCACAATGAGATTCATGGATGGCACATAGGAAATCTCCGAGGGATTACCCAAGACAGAGCCCAACAGTGATGGTGGATTGGAGAGTGCCACTATCTGTGGCACCTTCAACTTGTGGGCTACCGAAAGCTGCAGGCTGTTCATAAAGTATCCCACGATCACCAAATCGAAGTGATTGTCGGTATGCTCGTACAGATCCTTCACTTTCTGGTGCCTCAAGACATCCGCCATTTTGCCAAAGGCCGAGGTCAATGATCCCATCGCCACGAGCATGGAAATGACTGCATTGCTGGTGTCCCTCTTGGCCATGTCCGCCACAAGGGCGCCAAAGGACTTGCCGTCCGCCTCATCGAGCGTCACCTGAATGTGATTGACTGCCGGATGCAGAAGAGGCGGCTTCAGGGCAGTGACCACTGTCACATTGTGTCCACTCTCGGCCAGAATCTTGGCCATCGACATCTGAATGACCAAATGCGAGGGGCTCAAGCTGGTGAAAAGTCCCAGAATATTGGCTCCCTGGCTCCCGCTGGCCACCAAAGCCAATATGAGGAGGAATGGAATGCTATTCGAATGTACGGCCATCTGATCGCGGGAACAACTCAAAATGAACTGATCTCGCGGCCAGGTACTGGCTCTCCCTTTAACACAGAGCAGAGCCCTCTGATAAGCGTTATCAACAGACTGCCTTATCAGCCTGCCTGCTGCTACAAGTGTTAATAGTCTCTTAATCTTTTGAATGCCTCAAACATCTGTTGTACGAAAAACTATTGCAAAATCTAGCTTCTGGAGGGTAGAATTCCTAACAAATCGGAATCGGAATACTGCTTATTCATTATCTGTCATTTGCTTGGACAACAAATTCTCTCTCCGGGAATTCTCACGCTTATGTGAGGAACTAATAATGGAATAGCAACCATATTATTTCACAATCATATAATACGTTTTAATGGAATGAGAATTCATAGTCCCAACGTAATAATAATCGTATACGAGGAAGCCTTTTGATAACCCAATCTTTATTGCCATCACAGTAAAGATATTCCCAATTATTCACAATCTTTCAGACTCTACCATAATCAACGCCATGATAGCATAATCAGTGCACACCGTGGCGCCCTGAGGAGGTATCGATACTTTTAGCATTGAGATATTCTGGAGGCCTGTCCAATCATCGTGACATTGCAACTATGGGTAACTATTGGAACTATATTTATTCTATATTATTTCATAATTTATTCTATACGTTTTGGCTTGGAGACAATATTTTTTCGGAAACCTTTCCTTTATTCATGAAATTCTTATGTATTTGTCTTCAGTGATAGAGAAGGAGAATCATGGGAAATACCCGAAGATATATGTAAATCTGTTAGATACAATCGAACATGCTTGATCGCCAAATTTGTCTTGAGAGCAGCTCGATGTCGAACACGAACATACATATTATTGCAGCCAGGAAAAGGAGTTTGATCAAACACTTGCTTGAAAGAGGCTGGAACGAACCAAAGTTATGCTTAATTTTGTGGAGGAGAATTTTAGGAAGCCAAGTTCGATCAAACCCAATGCTCTAAGGCTTTTGAAAGTTCAAATTCCTTCTTTTTCTTATCTCTTCTTACCACAATCTCTTGGGTTTCTTTGCTTCCAAATATATTTATAATTCGCCCCTAAAAAACCCATTTTTTACAGATTTAATCAATATATTTGCTTATATGTACTTAAATTTAGTATATAACGACATTTAAGGTACTGGTGGTGTAATTTAACTGGGAATTTGGCGGTGAATCATTCTTTTGTTCCAAATTTTACTGTTTCTTGACCTTCTTTGTCTTCGAAGAGAGCTTTCTGATGATGAATTTAATTACAGCCTTCGTCAGTAGCAGGAAAACAACGAGAATGATGGCCAAAAGAGCAAAGACATCCAAGTTGTTGGCTGCTACGAAGCTCATGTGGACCAGAGGACTCTGGAGATGTGCGGCACCATGGTGACGGATGACATATTCGGACCAGTAGATGACCGATTCCCGGGCAGTGAGTGGACGATCGCGATAGAGCTTGGAGAAAGTGGACACCGTTTGAGCGTACTTGGTGTTCGAGAGGACCTCCTCGATGCCCTCGCGAAACGGCTGCTCCTCGAGGGTTAGGAGACTCTGAGTGAGGCCAAAGCCCTTCTTGACCATGGCGTCGGCATTCGCGGGTTGATCGCCAAAGACGGGAAGGGATAACATGGGCTTTCCATGGTATTGGGCCTCAGTGATTCCTCCTTTTCCTGCGTGATTGATGAACAGTTTGATCTTGGGATGGGCGAGGATATCGTCCTGTGGAAGCCACTTGGAGTAGAGGATGTTGTCCGACTTGCCAGGGGTCTTGTCCAGGTCCTCCCACTTCCAGATGACCCTCTGCTTCAGTTTCGAGAGGACATTGAACATCTTTTGTACGGTGTCGGGGCTGAGATGAGATCCCTGCACATTGGATCCCAGACTGAGGAGTATAGCGCCATCCGTGGCATTCCCCAAGAACTCCGCCATATTCTTTGGGAGAGGAGCAGGCGTATCCTTGACTTGAATGCCACCAATCTCAATCACACCGGGAACATTGGGTCGTATGGGTCCCTCGCTGATTGCGTGGGAGGCAAAGAACACGAGGGAGACATTCTTCATCATCTCTGAATACTCGGGCATGTTGGGATCATCGCCAAAGAGTTCTCTGCAAGGAAGGATGATCGGTGAGATCTTGTTCAAGGGTTTTCCTGTGATCTACTTACTTGTAGGAGTTTTTGTTGCGGTACTCCAAAACTTTACCAAATACCCGAAAACCGAGGCTCATAATGAAGCCGCTGATGCGTTGCTTGAACGACATTCCCTGGCCTCTTTCCAGCGAATCATTAATGCTGGGCACATAGGCGATTTCTTCAGGGTTTCCAATCAAAAAATTCAGCAATAGATTCGGTGGCATTGTGGCAACAACAATCAAGGGAGCATTCACCTTCTTGGCAAAGCCCATTTGGTATTCGTTCATGAAGAATCCCGAGAGAACCAGTTCGAACTTGTTGTCCTTGTTCTCGTAGAGGCCCCGGACTCGCGGATCCTTCAGGGCATCCGCCATTTTGTCGAACATGAAGCCCATCTGTCCGATCATCCGGAACATGGTAGTCAACATGTTCTTGTTGTCGTTCTTCGACATTTTCTCTATGATGGCACTCATGCTTGCCGCCTCCTCCTTGGTCAGTGGCACTTGAATCACATTGATGTCCTTGTGGGTGACGGCCGGCTTCAGGACTGTGACCACCGTGACATTATGACCCTGCTCCGCGAGGGCCTTGGCCGCCGACATCTGAATGATCAAATGGGAGGGACTTAGACTGGGAAACAGCCCCAGAATATTCGCTCCCTGACTGTCGCCGATAAAAGCGACGGCGACTGCCGCCAGCAAAAAGATTCGACCAACGTTCTGCACCATTTCGACGCTTGCAATGCACCCGGACTACTGTTGATAGAACCCCGTCTGGCACTGCTTTATATGGAAGATATGTTGTCGCTCTCATTTGCTGACTAATCGTGTTTGCGCTTACGCCGAATCCGGAACGTGGTTCGATAAGGGCTCCCTTGTGCGATTTGATTGTGCTCCAATGTTGTGATAGGTAATGTTAAACATTTCGCAATATTTTCTGTCCATTTCGTGGAAGCAATGCACCCGAAACTGATAAGAAGTGGCCCTTATCGCCTTAAACATTTTGATAATCTTTAGATTTTGTTTGTGAGAGACGGGGAGTAGGCGTATTAGATTCATTATAATCATTTCAAGTACGAATCCCATATATATATGCATCTTACGAGACGATAATGTCCCCCCTTTTGGTAATAATAATTATATTCCATGGAAAATCCAAATATAAACGAAATGTCTACCACGAAAGTGCCAAAAATGAGTGCGATATGTGTTATCATTACCTATTACAACAAGGCGGACTCCTTATCGCGGCAAACCTGAGTGTCAGCGACAACATCCATTCACTATAAAGAACGAGTTGCCGGGTGTTTTGTCCAGAGTCGGCTGTGTGCTCTACACCTGTCGATATGGTGCGAATCTTGTTGCTAGCGGTAGCTGCCGTCGCCCTAATCGGTGGAGGCCAGGGAGCCAACATTCTGGGATTGTTTACCAGCCTAAGTCCCTCCCATTTGATCATTCAGATGTCGGCGGCCAAGGCTCTCGCGGAGCGGGGACATAATGTCACGGTGGTCACAGTCCTGGAGCCGGCCATCACCCACAAGGACATCAATCTGATTCAAGTGCCTCTGAGCGAGGAGGATACGGAGCACATGAGCAGAGTCTTTGAGAAAATGGGGAAGAACAACGACAAAAACATGCTATTTGCCATGTTCCGTATGTTCGGACACATGCGGTTTATGTTCCACAAAATAGCCGATGCCCTGAAGGACACGCGAGTGCGCGATCTCTACGTGAACAAGGACAACAGATTCGATCTGGTGCTGTCGGGCTTTGCCTTGAACGACTACCAGATGGGTTTTGCCCAGAAGCTAAAGGCTCCCGTGATCGTAGTGGCCACCCTGCCCCCGAGCCCCTTGTTCAACTACCTGATTGGCAACCCGGAAGAGCCGTCCTGTGTCCCTAGCATCAATGATTCGGTGGAAAAGGGAAAGGGCTTGAGCTTTGGCCAGCGCCTCAGCAGCTACCTGACGGGCATTGGCTATAAGGTCTTTTCAAAAATGGGAGAGATACAAAACAAAAAGGCTTACAAGTAAGTAAAAGAGCAGAAAACCCAGGAAATAGTACTCATTGTTCAATCTTTTCAACAGAGAAGTCTTTGGCGATGATCCCCATATGCCCGAGTATTCGGAGATGATGAAGAATGTATCCCTCGTGTTCTTTGCCTCCCACGCAATCAGCGAGGGACCCATTCGACCCAATGTTCCCGGTGTGATTGAGATTGGTGGCATTCAAATCAAGGACACCCCTACTCCACTGCCCCCGAACATAGAGGAGTTCGTGGGGAACGCCACGGATGGCGCTATACTCCTCAGTCTGGGATCCAATGTGCAGGGATCGCATCTCAGCCCCGACACCGTCCAAAAGATGTTCAATGTCCTCTCGAAACTGAAGCAGAGGGTCATCTGGAAGTGGGAGGACCTGGACAAGACCCCTGGCAAGTCGGACAACATCCTCTACTCCAAGTGGCTTCCACAGGATGACATCCTCGCCCATCCCAAGATCAAACTATTCATCAATCACGCCGGAAAAGGAGGCATCACTGAGGCCCAATACCATGGAAAGCCCATGTTATCCCTTCCCGTCTTTGGCGATCAACCCGCGAACGCCGATGCCATGGTCAAGAAGGGCTTTGGCCTCACTCAGAGTCTCCTAACCCTCGAGGAGCAGCCGTTCCGCGAGGGCATCGAGGAGATCCTCTCAAATCCCACATACTCCCAGGCAGTGTCCACCTTTTCCAAACTCTATCGCGATCGTCCACTCACTGCCCGGGAATCGGTCATCTACTGGTCCGAATATGTTATCCGTCACCATGGTGCCGCTCATCTCCAGAGTCCTCTGATGCACATGAGCTTCGTAGCAGCCAACAACTTGGATGTCTTTGCTCTTTTGGCCATCATTCTCGTTGTTTTCCTGCTACTGACGAAGGCTGTTATTAAATTCATCATCAGAAAGCTCTCCTCGAAGCCAAAGAAGGTCAAGAAACAGTAAATCGTGAAACAGAGAAGTGATTCAACAAGTCCCTAAGTATTCTGTCTACCGATAAGCACAATCCATAGCAAAATACTCTACCAAGGTCGTTCAACTACTAAATTTAGGTACATATAGGCAAATAAATAAGACAAAACAACAGTTACTTCTTGAGGCTCCTGGATCATTGTTGTATGTTCCATGCGGCGGTGAAGGCAATCTAAGGGGCCATGTCTATTGTCTACAAGCTCCTCCTAGACAGCCAAGTAGCTGAGCGAAAAATTTTTTCTAAATCGTATTCGCTAATTTTGCGAAAGCCGGAGCATGGGTGTATAAATTTGTATTCGAATTGCTGAGAAGACACTTTCTAGAATATGGCTTTTCGCAGTCTATCAGAACTAATCATTTCGTAAATAATCGCATTGTAAGTGCCCTCAAAAGTGATAACCATACCCTTATCGAATGAAACATTTTGAATTATTCGTTGGATCGTTACTCGAAGCTAAATGTCAGATATAATCAGAAAACTAGCGGGAACTCAGCAGTGGGCGGTGTTCTACTTATATAACGATCAGTATTTCCATATGTGTCTAATCTTATGATTTATGCAACTCTGCGGAGACCGCGATCTCTCTCAATTTCGCTCTCTGGTGAAATTCTCTGTCTGAGCGTTTTCGGTTTTCTCTATCCAAAGTCTGGATACAAAATTGTGTTGCTTTGGCTATTATAGTCTTTGGGATCTTATCGCTTATCGGGACGGACAGACCGGCATGGATACATATATCTTCATCTACTTTATCCTCATCTACCACAAAACTAGCACATCTCTAAGTACATCCTTGGGTATCGCGTATAAATAGCAAAAGTCAAAGAAAATCTTGCATCGAACATAAGAATTCTTGCGACTTATTCGTTTCGTGTGAAAGCCCATAGAAATCGAACATGCTGAAGCTGGTTTTTTTTGGAAGATTGAGTTTGAAGCGGGTATAGAGTTCGAGACAAGTTCGAGACAAGTTCGAGACAAGTTCGAGACGAGTTCGAGACGAGTTCGAGACGAGTTCGATTGGGCTTAATGCAGTTCTTTGATACGAATTCTACTAAATGATATTTCCCTTTTGTTCTTGACCTAATATTTGTATATTTTATATTGTTTTATTCAGTTTATACTCGTATATTAACTCACATTAAGGAGTTCAACCTCGTGGAGTATTTTTAGTAGGTGCTAGCGCCGTATCGGTAGACAGATTGCATGCCACGAGACCAGTCCATTCTGTAAAATAAGTTCTTAGTCGGTTTTGGCTTTTTTTGGCTTCGAGACAACCCTACTGAGGATGAATTTAATTACAGCCTTCAAGTCTGTTGCGATGGCAAAAAAGTTCCATTGTAAGCATTTCGCTTTTAATTTTGTTTTAAATTTCGCGATAAGAAATAAATCTTGAACGTTTTTCTTTTATAGTTCTTATCAGAACGCACTCAAGAGTTACCTTATCGGGGAATAAGCGGCGAAACGAATTTTCCCCCGCACCAAAAAGATGTAAACAGATTTATCAGCATGAATCAATATATATTTCATTTGGCCGGCTACCATTAATTTATTCGATTATCTGCCGCTTAAGACCCCCTTCCCGAACCCTTCCCTCTACGGCACATTATCATCGTATACCAATCCCTAGCCCGTGCTTTCCTTCAGAACTAATGGTTTTCCATGTGCGTGACGACGACGAAGAAGGAGGAGGATGCCCCTGAAGGGCGTGTGCACATTTTCATACACATTTAATCGTCTGTCTGCCCTGCAAATTCTTAATTAACACGCACATGCACATCCACATCCACACAGGGCACACACATGCAAATAAATATTTATCGGCTCTGTGGCGCGTAACTCACATCATTCCCGGCAACGGCCTCGCCCCATTGTGTGTTGGTCACTCAGTTGTTGTCCGAAAAGAAGTCCCATCCCATCCCCCATCTCCCATCCATGGATATGGGCTCTGGACTCTGGACTCTGGACTGTCCGCAGACCATTCATCGTGGATGTCGTCGCTGTCGCTGTCGGTGTAAACCAAAGCCCGCATTCAGCATTTCCGCCGCCTGTGTCGTCCTTTGTCTCTTCTTTTGGTTTAATTTTTGCCATTGACCCTGGAAGCCCGTACATTCCTCCCTCCCTCATATTCTGTTACTGCTTTGATCTGTGGATCAATTCTGATTTGATCCGTGAAGAGTTTTTCTTTTATTCGATTGATTTCAATACAGTTTTAGATGAAAGATGGATTTACACAAAGAGATACAGATACAGAAACAGAAACAATTGTTGTATGGCTTTTGTTTAAAAATCTAAAGCGCTGAAAGGCTAAATTAAACCTAAGTACATTCTTACAGGGATGATCTTTCATGTTTGAGGAGATCTATAATGTTTGAAGGAGGGGAGGTTAAATGCAGGTTAATTAATTAGGAAAATCAATAAATTAATTGATAAATCGACATAAAACAAAATATTTTTCTAAAATCACATTATTAAAATTATTAAATAATTAATTAGAAATATAAAATATAAAATAATATATATATACAATAAAAATGAATAAATAAATCTTAAATCGACATAAAAAAAAAAGAATTAAAGTAAAATTATAAAAAAAAATACTATGGAATATATGTGCAAAATCAATCAATTAATTGAAAATCGATATAAAAAATAGCAATAAAATTTAAAATAAAATTATTAAAAAATTCTAAGGAATGTAAAAAACTATAAATTAATTAATAAATAAATATAAAAGATAACAGTAAAATTAAAATTATTCAAAAATTATTATTGAATATTATACAAATATTTCAAATAAATATTAAATATTGAAAAATTATTATAACTATTTTTCGATTAAATCATTAAAGATGGTATTTAAAGGTGCTATAACAACCGTCTAATATGCTTTAAATTATTTAGTTAATTTATAATTAAATAATTCACATCAAATATGTACAAATCCGAGCTATTTATTGATTTTCAATTAAAAGAACGTATAAAAAAATCGATTTATCGATTACATCAGGTGTATAAAAACCTTGAAATGTTAAGTACATATCATCATCATTTGTTTGTACGATTGATAAACAAGCAAAAACAAATAATTGAGTTGCCAGGAAAATTATGAAAATACTATAATACTATATATTATATCGATATTTCTTCCAACCCTGCCATAGGTCCATCTATTGATTGATTGCTTTCGAAGGTCTTTTGGCGCTACACCTAGTATTCAACGATAATTTAGGGTCTTGAGAATATATATATTTGCGATGTAAACAAGTGTTGGAGATCCACAATCTTCTCGCACCACCCCTTCCGCCACACACGATATATGCATAGTGGATGGAATGTTTACAAAATTCCAACAACACTTCAGTTTTAATGAAGAAAACGCTGGCAGAGACCCCACCAAAGTAAATGTCAAATATTTGATTAGCCCCATTAGAAGGGTGCCCCACCGGAGAGGGGACCCCACCACTGACCCACATGGGACGGCAGCGATGGCGCAGCGTTGCTGCCGCAAGGGTTGTTCGCTCTCGTTCTCTATCCAAGAATACTTCATTATAATTCTCGCTCATTAACCCATGTTTTCCATGTGCGTTTTCCGCTTTTCCCCACTTTCGCTGCTGGGGTGGCCCCACATTTCCAGGACGAGGGACTGTCTAGAACAAAAAAAAAGAGGGGAAAAACACTTTTCATAATTAAGCATTGTAATTTTTGTTTGTTTCGCCTTCAGTGTTTTTCGGGCGGGATAGGGGTTTTGCCGCGGTAAAGGCTTCATTTTCACTTGGGTTTTCGATTACAATTTTCCCTGCCATCTTGGCGTCCTTCCACCCTTTTCCTGTTTCTGTTTTTGGCAGAAATATACAAGTTTTCCCCGTGATGGACACATGATTGCTTTCGGTCTGCCTCTATTCATATTTGATCAACATCCAACTGGAAGCTCATTCATATTTACTCGCATTTCCCTGGGAGAGAGCGAGAGGGAAAAGTCCCTGCCCATCGATTGTGATTATTTATTAATCTTGGAATATAATCTAGACACTGGGAAATGTTTGAGAAACTCGTCAGCTGTGGGAAAGAGACAAGCGTCTCCTCCACTGTTGAGGAATTTTCAATTAGTGCAACCGAAAAATGTCACTTGGCATATCCTACCTCCCCCCTCACCCCACCCCACCGAATCGCTTCCTAAAAGACAGGAATTTTCATAATTATGCAGTGGGTGAGAAATTTGTTGAATTTTACATTCATTTTGCAGTAAATTTAATTAGAAAACAAAACTTTTCTGCACACACAGAGCTTATGTCATGCCAGAAATGTACTTCTCCCCCCCCCCCCCCGCCATCCTCCCTCCCGCCCACCAGCTTATTAAAGGGTAGCAGCAGCTAAATACAAGTTTCACCACAGAAAATGTCTATAATTTTCCCTGTGTGTACATGGCAACCAAAAGCTGTCGCCCCTGCCCCTCCCCCTCCCGCTGCACTGCCCTCTGCCCTCTGGCCGCTGGCCGCTGGCCTCTGTTCTCTGAGCATTAGTTATTACAACCCAACTATAATTTAAAATAAATGCCAAAGTAGCCGAGGTCTAAACCGCAGAACATCGCAGGCCCTGAGCTCCCAGAGAAAGCTGGCTATTAAGCCCCCATACCCCGTACCCCGTACCCCATAACCCCACCCCGACCCCCCAAAAAGGCAGGCTTCCAGGAGTCACAGAGCTTCAGAGCTCTAGCTCCCACTTCTGTTGCTGCTGTTGGCTTTATAATAAATTTATAAATGAAAATATGAAAAATGGTCGCTGCGTGTTTTTGCCAAACTAAGCAAAAAAAAACAACAAAAAACGAAGCAACGAAAACTCTCTGAAAATTCTCTCTAAGAGTGGAGAAAAGCTGCAAAAAAAAAAGGAAGCAAGAAAGGCTATATTTGTGGCCGAAGATGAAAATACTCTAGAAGGAAGATCTATGCGGCGGAGTTTCAATAAATAAAGGAAGTGTAAGAGAAATAACAATTGTAGATATATATATATAGAAACCCAAGCCTTGGAAACCTTTGAAGCATGATCTCTTCTACGAAAAGAAGATGAAACCACAGTCAGAGATCCATTAAATAAATGAAAAAGCCAATACTGGTTCTTGGAAC